TTGTCTGGTGTGGTAGATCTGGGCCTCTGTTGCTCGAGTGCCCAGGACCTGCTCCTGAGCAGCCAGGATCAGTGCCTCTGTGTGTCCTTCAGACCAGCCCTCTCAAGCCATTTTTGGATTTCTTGATATCAGCCTCTTCAGTTATGTTCCGGTGGTACGCCCCATGTAGGGGTTTGTCCTGCCATGATGGTCCCTCCAGTATAGATCTCTATAGAGCTATGTCTACATATCTATATCTATATCTATCTATCTATCTATCTATCTATCTATCTATCTATCTATATATATATATATATATATATATATATATATATATATATATATATATATATATATATATATATATATATATATACATATATATATATACACACACATAGACATAGATATAGATACACACACACACAGTTATCACAGTTATCATAGTCACCGTTTCTCAGGTTCACACACAAGAGCTCTTCACCCGTCACACCCTTCATCTCTGTTTTTGGGTTCAAAAACCCCCATGAAAGCAACTGATGTTACTTGTACACACACACACACACACACACGCACACACGCGCGCACACACACACACTTGCTGAAAACTTCAACACCTTACTTTTCCCTTTTTTCAAATTTTAAGAACATTTCGGGCTCTTGTGTAACAGAAAAACATTTCAGATAACAAATAACATTAGCTCTCCAAATAAATAATACAACCACCACATTATTGGATCTTGTGCACTGAATAAGTGAGAGGTGCTTTTATTTCATTTCATTTTTCAGTTCAAAATGTAGTTTGTGTCCATTGCTCGTCTAAGATGACTGGAGAACAGTGATGTAGAAGTTTGTAGCACATTTCTCTTTGCTTGTTGGTGATGAGATATTTGTGAGTTCATGTCCAGACATTTTTCCATGGAATATTGTCAGTAGAGTCGGGGTGTCACAGAGCACGAGTAGAGCTCTGTTTGGGAGGTACACTTGTGCTGACTCATTATAAGACAAGTTTAACTGAAGATGGAGATGAGTTTTTCAGAGTTTTGTGCAGTGTCTTCACTCTCGTTTGCTCAAGACAATATCTTCAGGTGCGGCCCTGTCCTGCCGCTTCCCCAGTTTAGGCTCCTGTCTCCAGTAATGACATCACTCTGTTACAGCCGATGAAACAGCGGCAGGTGTAACCCTGTCATCATCTCACTGAATACATCTCAGAACATCTAATAAGCAAAATGTGAACTAAAACATGTTCAATTAATACTACTGAGTTTGGAAAAATATAATAAATGTATATTTTTGTTTATAAAATTTTATAAAATGGTAAATATTGTTAGGGACTATTTTGTCTTCCCCAGATATTGACTGTGACACGTCCCCACTGTCCCTGTGCAAACCTACACCTCTGAATCAATAAACAGATGAACAGAGTTTAGTGCTTCTCTCTTTGGTTTTGTTTTTCATTCCTGTGATATTTTAGTTTGAATTTGTTTCGATACAGACGTGTCCTTGTTTGGCTAATTCACCTGTCAATCACGCCCATCTGAACTCTGAAGGACACGTCTTCACAAAGTACTGGAGAAGTGTGTACACTCTCGTGGGCCATGGAGGCCGGACCAGAAGCAGATGGATGGAGTTTTTTTGGTAATCCATATGGAGTAAGAAAGCTGTCAAAAATATTCGTGCGCATAAAATTGAAATCCATGCATATTTGGGAAATCCGTGCATATTTGGCTGTAGTTGCGCATAAAATAAATATTTGTAAACTCTCAAATGAGTCCAGTCGTACATAAAATATATCGTGTGTATTTTATCCATCAGAATACAAACTGAAAAATTACGACGTCAAGAATTACAATCACGAAATGAAAATTTACGATTACGCTTTCATCAGTACGAATACGAATTCACAGACGGAACTTTACTGTCAAAAATACGTCATCACTTCACAGACATTATTCATCGAGCAGAAGAAACATCGATCAAGATCAAGACTGTGCAGCTCAAGTTTGTAGCAGAGGGTAAAAACAGAGTAAAAGCACAAGAAGCTACAACAGCGACCAACAAGTGGGTTCATTAAAATCTATTGTAAAAATGTACAGCCAAATATGCACGGATTTACCAAATATGCACGGATTTCTGTTCTATGTGCACAAATATTTTTGACAGCTTTCTTACTCCATAAATCCACCTCATAAAAGAACAAAATAACATTGGATATGTAGAAACCATAGCCCATGTTGATGAATTATCCCATATTTGAAAATCATTACAAAGTTACAACAAAATATCTTTATTCTTTAAATGACTTTAAAGTCCCACGGTGTTTACTATTTATAGAAATGACTTTTAAAACACTAAAAATTATTATTATTATTATTATTAGTGTTCTTCAAGTTCAGCGGGCCAGATTAAAAAGCTTCAAGGGCTGCATATGGCCCCCGGGCCATAGTTTGCCCATCCCTGGTCTACACTATTCCCCAGAAAATCTCCTGTCGCTCCTGTCACTCCTGGCTCTCTGCCAGATACAGTTGATAATGTGCTGTGTTTGCTCCTGTCGCACCTGTCCAAACCTGCCCTGCCACAGGCTTCCTCAACTTCTCTTGACTTTTGTCTTTTTGTTTTATCCCACTCACATACATCACACCAGCGGCCGAGCGGCAATCTGTAGAATCTGTAAGTGTGTACATGTGATGAAGAAGTCTAAACCAGGTCGATACAAGTGGACTACATCATTTAGACCTGATTTACAACTGTAGTTCTAAACAAAAATCATCCAAAAGACGACAAAAATGTGAATCAAATGAACTGTAACCAATGAGTCAAACCCACAAACCCCTGTAGGAGCGTTCTTAACCCCAGTGTTACATGTGCACTTATCATTATACAACATACTATACAATTATACAACATACTATACAATTATACAACACACTATACAATTATACAACATACTATACAATTATACAACATACTATACAATTATACAACATATACAATTATACAACATACTATACAATTATAACAACATACTATACAATTATACACATACTATACATACACATACATACAATATACATACTATACAATTATACAACATACTATACAATTATACAACATACTATACAATTATACAACATACTATACAATTATACAACATACTATACAATTATACAACATACTATACAATTATACAACATACTATACAATTATACAACATACTCTACAATTATACAACATACTATGATTATACAACACACTATAATTATATAAAGACATTCCAGAGACAGACTGATGCCAGCATAAAGACTCTTCAGGCTTTCAGACACTTGTTTACAGCTGCCTGCACACACACACGCCCATAGAGTTCAGAAGAATTGAAACAAAAAATGTTGGCTGTGCTTCCACACAGTTATTCATCTTGGAGCCATGAGGAAAGAACTGTGAAAAAAAAATATTCAAATGTAAACGACCAGAGTTCATTTGAACAAAGATGAAATCAAAAGATAAAATCAAAAGATGAAATCTATGGAGTAAGAAAGCTGTCAAAAATATTCGTGCGCATAAAATAGAAATCCGTGAGTATTTGGGAAATCTGTGCATATTTGGCTGTAGTTGCGCATAAAATAAATATTTGTAAACTCTCAAATGAGTCCAGTCGTACATAAAATATATTGTGTGTATCATTTCATGCGAGAAATGCAGCTGAAGTGAAGGTTCAGACTGACTGATGCTCGCTGTGGCTGGAGCCGTGAATGTTTTAATCTAAACCTACAGAGAACCTGATATTTGTTAATTAGCCCTGGGATAACGTTACGTCGGATGTTACCAACTGGCTCCACTATGTTTTCTAACATATAGGTGCAATTTCCCGTTCAAAGGAGGTGTTTCTGCACAATATTATACAGCAGCGTTCGGTTCCCGAATTCAAGACATTTTTACAATAGATTTTAATGAACCCACTTGTTGGTCGCTGTTGTAGCTTCTTGTGCTTTTACTCTGTTTTTACTCTGCTACAAACTTGAGCTGCACAGTCTTGATCTTGATCGATGTTTCTTCTGCTCGATGAATAATGTCTGTGAAGTGATGACGTATTTTTGACAGTAAAGTTCCATCTGTGAATTCGTATTCGTACTGATGAAAGCGTAATCGTAAATTTTCATTTCGTGATTGTAATTCATGACGTCGTAATTTTTCAATTCGTATTCTGATGGATAAAATACACACAATATATTTTATGTACGACTGGACTCATTTGAGATTTTACAAATATTTATTTTATGCGCAACTACAGCCAAATATGCACGGATTTACCAAATACGCACAGATTTCTATTTTATGCGCACGAATATTTTTGACAGCTTTCTTACTCCATAGTTAAGCTCAGTTTAAAGTTTGCTCTGAACAAAGTTTGTATCACCTAAAAGTCAATTCAAACAACTTGTGCTGGATTAGATTTATGACTCATTCTTTTTTATATCAAACTATTGAAAGTAACTAAGTAACTTTTACTCAAATTACTTTTTAAACCAAGTACTTTTTTACTTTTACTCATGTACATTTTTAGATGGTTACTTTTATTTTTACTTGAGTAGGAATTAAGCAAAGTAAAGATACTTTTACTTAATTAAAATTTTTCAGTACTTTTTCCACCTCTGGAAATAATCCCATAAAAATCTCCTTCTTACAAACAGCAGAAACTCGTCTTTAGTGAACTTTATCCTTTTATTGATTTCACTTTTTTGTCTGTTCAAATATGACTGTGAGTCCTATCACACTCTCACATCACACTCCGGATGTCACACACTGCAAGTACACTGACAAAAGCCCCACACTTTTATTTAGATTTAAAACAGCCAGTCTACTGACATATAACGTTCACCCGCCAATGGTTATTTAAATCTCACAGCAACAACATCACAGCTATTCACTCTTCAGAGGATTTCCTCCCACTGCTCCTCCTCTTCCTGTGGGTGTAATCTCTAGAGTTGTGGGTGTGTGTTTCCTATAAACTCAGCTCTTTCCGCATACAGGTCAGACAGTGTGTGTGTGTGTGTGTGTGTGTGTGTGTGAGAGAGAGAGAGAGAGAGAGAGAGAGAGGCAGAGTCAGTCTCTCCACACACACAGACAGAAAGCAGAAGACCAGAAGCAGAATTTTTTTCCTCAGAACAGTGACTCGCCGTCTGTTTGTGCCGTTTTCTTTTTCTACAGGAGACTTCAGCTCAATATGACTCATCACAGGTGAGACTTTTTACACACACACACACACACACATCACACACACACACACACACACACACACACACACACACACACACACACACACACACACACACACACACACACACACACACACACACACACACACACACACACATCACACACACACACACACACACACACACACACACACATACACACACACACACACACACACACACACACACACACACACACACACACACACACACACACACACACACACACACACACACACACACACACACACACACACACACACACACACACACACACACACACACACACACACACACACACACACACACACACACACACACACACACACACACACACACACCACACACACACACACACACACACACACACAACACACTCTGGGGATTAAAAAGCTAAAATATTCTTGTTTTGAAATTTCTGTTTTAATTTATTAATTTGTATTTTATTTTTATTCTACTACTACACCAAATACTACTACTGGTACTCCAGATACTACTACAACTTCAAATGCAATATAATTATGTATTATATAATTATATCCACATTTATTCTCTTATGTGTTTATTTCCATATTAAATGTAGATGTATTAGTTGTAAGAATAGGGAAGTGTTGACTCAGACGATTGGGCAGATGCAGAAGTGGAAGTGCAGACTGTGTGGTGTAACAGACACAAATATTGATTTGAATATTCAAACAAATATTGATACAAATATATATATATATATATATATATATATATATATATATATATATATATATATATATATATATATATATATATATATATATATATATATTTTTTTTTTTTTTTTTTTTTTTTTTTTTTAACTGCTCCAAACATGATGTGCAGGTATCACAGTGAGGACACAAGACACCTGTGTGTGTCCATGCAAATGTTGAAGCTCTTTGCAAATAAATATTTAAATGTGTGGCCTGCTTCCAGGTCCAGTCTACAGAGGTGCAGAAGGGAGCACTGCACCTTCATTTGAAATAGTTCTGCTATTTTAGGTTTGTGAAATGATGACACTTTAAAGAGGAGAACAGTGTGTACTCTCTGAGACTCGATGCAGCCCCAGTGTGTTGGTCTGCACTGCTCTTTCCTTTGCAAAGCAAACACTTAAATGTTCTATTGGTTTACACTGTTTCTCTTTCTCTATCTCTTTTCTCTCTCTTTCTCTCTCTCTGATTCCAACAAGTTCCAGTAAATGTTGTTATTTGAGCTTCTGTGAAATCCTAAACCTTTATGACCCTGAACTCAGAAACCCTTATCACCTGGCAGCTGTTCAAGCACAAGTCTCTGTTTCTCATGAAACCAGCACACACTGCAGATCCAGTTTTTTTCCCTTTAGTCCTCAGAAACGTCTGCGTATTCTGACATTAAATGTGCAGAGTGAACAGTTTAGCACATCTTATGATTATATGCTGCATAACGTGAACAAAACACATTTTGACAATGACACTGACAAACTCGCTCTAGCCAGTTTAAACATGCATGTCTTAAAGTATTTGAATTGCTCAGTAGCTTGCTGTAATAATAGAGGAGTGGAGGAGGTGGAGAGCCCTGTTAATCCTGTTTGCAGTGTGTGCATTAAACTGTTCTCATAAATAATATTTTCTTTTCAGTTGTTTGCTTTGTTTGTTTTTTCGGCAGTTGTGCTGTAGATCTGTTCTGTTGGCCTGCACACACACCACTTTATATCAGCATGTAGACTCTGACTGCACGTCTCTCTCAGATAAAACAAATCTCTTAGGGCATCTGGGGCATTTTCATACGTGGTGTTTCAAAATGAACTCTGTACTCGGTTGATAGTGTGAACAGCGAGTCCTACTAAATCTAAACCAGGTCTGTAACAGGACTATTCCAGGTCAAATCTAGGACTAAACCAGGTATCAATTCCTCTAGAGTTTTAAATATAAAATGATCCACTGGAGGACAGAAAAGTGACACAGACTGGTGCCAGCAGTTTTTTTGAAGGGCATATCTTGACTTGTATGATGTACATCTTGCAACACACCTTAGTCAGGAATTCTGTTTTCATTTTAGAAGAAACTGAACCTTAACTGTTCTTGGCAGTGAGATTATTGTAAAGGATTGTGGGTGGAGATAAAATGAAGAAAGATAAGATAAGATAACAAGTTTTGCATTACGCTCTCTTTTTTTTTTTTTTTACCAAGGTCCCTCAGTTTGTGTGTGAGTGTTGGTGGTTTGAATCCTACAGATGAATACTGTTGTTGTTGTTGTTGTTGTGTCTGTGGTTCCTTAATCTATAGCACTTTGAAGAACACTATAGAAATGGATTGGTGTTGAAGGCGTTGGTTATTTCTGTGAAGCTGAAGCTCTTTGTCCATTCTAACAACAGCTCATTTGTTATGTATGTTACCATAATGACAGACTATCAAATTTCAATAGATATCAAAAGAAAAACACCAGACTTCCCGAATGTTTGTCTAGCTTTTTATAGCTATAATGTGAACCAAGGCATTGAATCACTCTATTGTTCTTGTGTCTGTGGTGCTTTGTGTAGGCTTTGTTGTCTGTTGTTGACATGTGAGTGGCCACAAAATGAGGGAGTAGCCACGCAGTCATGCAACCGATCAACAGATTAAAGGTCTTATATTACACAAAACTGACGCTTGTGAGCTTCAAGCCACACAATAATTAATGTCCTTAAACCTCCTCTAAAACAGACCGGACTTGTTTGTTTCATGTTTGAGTAAGACTTTATTTTTCGTGTCTACATCTCCAGAGCTTAACATGCTCTGTTCCACCTTGTGATGCAGTAGTAGGTTATTTTCTTGAGTCATGTACCCAGTAGACTGTAACAAATATTTCACATAAAACCAGAGGTGGAGCTACCATTAGGCAACAGTAAGCTGGGGCCCCCGAACCTGGAGGGGCCCCCAACCAACTGCCCTCAGTGCCATTAATGACCGAGGCCTCCGAGCAAATTGATTTTCTCTCAATATGACATTAAATGAGAGTAGTTTTGAGTAGTTTTACTTTTGAACAAAAAAAAAAAAAAAACACCACTAAAATTGTATCTGATTATCAAATCTATTTTAACTGTCAAAGCCTTCCCCCTTTCACATTAGCATGGACTCATCAGCTTGATCCTGATTTAAATATAATAATAATCATAATCATATGCAGTGGATGTAAACCAAACTGTTATTGTACTGGCAAAAAAATAAAACTACTTTGAGCTCTGGTTTTCTAGTAGGTGACTGAACTAATAAACACAAGTTTCCAATCCACCTGAATTCAAATAGTCTGTAAACCTGTGCATGTCTCAAGAATAAAAGGAAAAAAACAGACAATAGATATAAAAAAACCCAAAACAAAACAGTGCGTTAAAAAGCACGGCTGCCAAACAGCACCATCACACACACCACTTTTATACTAGATAATGTTGGGTGAAGTGTCTTGCCTAAGGACACAATGACACTTCCTGTGGCACCTGATTTTCCCAGTGTCTCCATCCAAGTACTGACCAGACCCAACCCCGCTGAGCTTGTGACTTCTGACAGGATCAGGGTTTTACGGCAAGTACTTTTATATCCGTGTTAGTCAAGGGTGAGATACTTTTCGTAAAACACATAATACATAAACTAAATAAACATTAACGCCTTTTGTAAATGAGCCAAGTCAAAAGAAACTCCTCCTTTTATAATAAATCATTCGTCAAATTATTGAATTTAATGACAAAACATTTTAATCACACTCATTAATCAATTAAGGCTTATTATCTGAGCCAATCCCTTTGCAATCATGAGGTTAAATAATATGAATGTTTTTTCTATTAAGGCTTGGCTTGTTGAGTTCAGTTAAGGGAAAGATTTAAAAAAAAAAACTTTAACAAAACTGTCAGTTCTACAAATTAATCCCTCTAACTTTGTCAACTTTACACAAAATTCCATCCAAAACCCCCATTGTCCAACTCATACGGCCAATGTGCCCATGGGCAAAGCACCTCAATAATCAGTCATTTTGGCATGTACAGCCAGTCAAGGAAATTCTAAAGCAGAACTGATGCAAGATTTAAATAAAAGTGACTAACTTGTTATGGAATGATCTGACTGAATCACCAAAAACCAGACAGAGGGTAAAATCCCAAACGGTATCACTCACCTACACATACAAATGAACACCTGAGGTCACTTAACACCTCAAACACCTGGAGGATGTTGGTGATGCTGTGAAAACCCCTTTACTCTCAACCAAGTATCTCTCTTTCCTCCTCTGACAAAAAGAAACAGAAAAGCTCAAAAGTCCTTGTCCGTGGCAGCACTTCCAGAAAGCACTCGTGATGATTTTAGATTCTGAAAAATGAATTTGAAAATGTTCTGTGTAGTTCATTTTACACCCCACAGGATATTTTGGATTGTTTTGTTCTTCGGCGTCTTTAAAACAGGACTGAATCATTTGAGCTGGAAACATGATGACGATAACAGAGTGTCATTCAGGTGTTCAGTGTCAGTGTGCTGTGCAGACTCTTTCACACGGGAGTTAGTGTTTATTGAACTGCTGTCCCCTCTGAGCATGGGCCAGGCACTGCCCAGAGGAAGTGCTTTGAGGGAGGATAATACTGTGTCCAAAAGCACTTAACACAACTTTATCAGGCTCCAAATGTCTTATGCTCTGATCTGAAGAGCATCGCAAAGGTCAAGGTTAAAAAACAAACCTGTAAATACTGGATTGTGTGTGTTTGAAACATGACCAGTATATTTCCAGTGGACTGTGTGATGCCAGCACTAGTGGGTCTGTTATTTATGGCCATATTTTCATTTAGAGACTAAATATTGAACTAAAAACATCAGGCTTGTGTAGAGCAGGTTAAAAGGACTTTTCAATTTTCCAATAGAAAGTGAATTGGAGTTGATGGAGCCAAATCGTACCCATACATGCGGCGGCTATGTCCACTTGTACAGACAGGCGAAGTGTTTGTATGTGAGAATATCGAAAATGTGTTTAAAGATGATACTTTTACACTGTTTTGAGGGGGAAAAGCCCAGTCAGGTTTTATATAATTAGGGGAGCCACCTAGACAATAATTGCCCCCTGCCTTGACTACATCCCTCCGAACCACGTGAATCCACAAACTGTCCAACACATGTTTATATAATATAGACATAAATACATTTTTATTTCCACATCTGCACAAACAGCCAGTGATATTTATGCAGAACAACAGTGGCCCCAAGACTGAGCCCTGGGGAACTCCTAACGTCCAGGGTTTATACGACAAGAATTTATCAATCAGAGAGATGTGACCATTTCTGTTCAATGCATTTAAACTTAAACGAGGACCAATCAGACCTGCCGTGACCGTTGCATTGTTCTTCACAGATCCTGTTTTTGTTCGTGAGCAATGTCTTAAACCTTCCTGTTCCTGTTCCTCTGCGGCCGACTGAACTGAAGCAGGGCAGAAGAAGAGACGAGGTGGGTCTGGGTTTTTAATTTGGAAATTAGTCTGAACTTTTAATTTGAAAACCCCTGAGACGAGAAGAGGAAAATGACATATGATTTTTGTTTGTGTTTTTTTCCAGAAACTTATGAGAAAATTTTTGAAAATATTAAAAGTCAAAGTAAAAGTATCATCCTGCCAGTGATGGGCTCAGTGCACATTCGATACTTCAGGAGGGTGAGTTCAGCTCTACTGATACTTTGCAGCTGATGTCATTAACATAACATGGGGGTGTGAAGCGAACTGAAAGCACTGCTCTGTCAGAAGCTCTGTTACAGTTCAACTTTAATCTGAGCTTTATTTTAACACAATCTAACCATAAGGAACTGACCTATTTGCAGCTCCAACAGGTGAGCTGGTTTGTGCCGTTCCACAAGCTCACATTAGCCGACCGTTTTTCAGAAAGTCACTCTCACACTCGGACTGTTGTTTAAATCCATTTTGTGTTTTTTCAGAGCATCTTAAAACTTTGACAGTATTTGCTAATGTGTGCATTGTGTCACCATGGTAACTGCTGAAAGTTCTATCATAGAGATAGATGCAGAACACCCCCAGAATGATGTCATTGCAAAGTATTCATATTTTTGTTCTTCTGTGATGCCAGATTTTATCACTGCATTGACCTGGGACATTACACTAGACCTGAAATGTTCTTGATAACTGTCAAAGCGTCACATTGTAGATGTGTGAGCAGGTTTATTGCTCACATCTGTGTAGTTACTGGACCTGTCCACAAACGGGAAAGTTCCAGTGTCTTCCATGTCAGCAGCCTGGAAAATTATTCATTTTATTTCCATAATGTTTGTATAATACCTCAGGCATCCAGGAAAAAAAAATCAAACATATTAACTGGACAAACTTTTTAGAGGAAACAAAAACTTCCCCATGTTTTTCTTTGAACAAGGAAGTTAATGTTTTACAAAAACTCCAGCATTTTATCAGCAGGTTAAAGTCTGCAGTTATATATAACAGGTCAAAGTCAAAGTTACACATTTACTTTTATGTGCTCTTGTAAATAGAGTTTACAGCACTCTCTGTGTGCACCAGCAGATACTGACTGTCCTTTTGTCCTTTTATTTATTTGAGACAGGGACAGAGCACAATTTTTGCATTTACCTTAACAGGAGAGATGCATTGTACATCAGGTTGTAGCATCAGTGCTAATTCCCACCTGTCGTCCTTGGGCAGGTTCATTGGTTGATTGTTTTTAATTGACCTTGGCTATCAACTGTTCATGGAGACATGTAGCGTGTCTATCTACAACAGCCATCATCAGTGTTGTAATGATTGGTGAGAAATGCCTTACAAAATACCACAGCTGAAGTTTCTGTGCAAAGAAACAATGTAAGGCATGTCCCTGTTCAGGTTTAACAACAGATCCTCTGTTAAGAAGAAAATGCAGTAACACTGGTTTAAAACACTTCAGTCCTCTGCTCGCTCTGACCCTCCTCTGACCCTCTCCTCTGTTCCTCTGACCCTCTCCTCTGTTCCTCTGACCCTCTCCTCTGTTCCTCTGACCTTCTCCTCTGTTCCTCTGACCCTCTCTCTCTGTTCCTCTGACCCTCTCCTCTGTTCCTCTGACCTTCTCCTCTGTTCCTCTGACCCTCTCCTCTGTTCCTCTGACCCTCTCCTCTGTTCCTCTGACCTTCTCCTCTGTTCCTCTGACCCTCTCCTCTGTTCCTCTGACCTTCTCCTCTGTTCCTCTGACCCTCTCCTCTGTTCCTCTGACCTTCTCCTCTGCTCATGTTCAAACATCTCAAACACTGAACTATTAAAATTACTGATTATTTCCATGTTCATGACATAACCAACACACATTTTGGGATAGAGACAGACCGATATAGCAATTGGCCGATATATACTGGGCCGATATTTGGGCTTTTCAGTCTATGGGGCTATCGACATTAAGTCTCTTGTTCTGCTGCCTAAAACAGAGGACACACTCAGCTTTATTTTATTTAACTCTCATAACTGCACAAAACATGACTCCACAGCTCTTATATGTTTGTGATAAAAAGGGCTGTGGGTCAGTTTGTGGTTCTTTTCATTTAAATTAAAGTTACATATAGGGCCAAAAATATCGGTGACGCTTATTGGCCATTCTAAAGAAAACCCATATCTGTCAATCTCTATTTTGGGGTTTGGTTTTTGAGTTCGTGAGAATGCAAGAAGCATTTTGAAATGCAAATATAGATAGCATTTGTGGTATGAATAACATCTGTAAAAATAATCTCGCTCAACCATTTATTCTTTCTGTTTCAAAATGACTACGCTAATAATTACAGAAGCATTAACCTGTAAAAATAAGTATTCGGTCAATTCTAATCATTTTCTTTTTCCAGGTTCAGCGAATGGGAAACAGCAACCAGAGAAAATCCAAATCAGAAGACGCTCCGGTAATTTACAGAGCTCCTCATTGATTGTGAATGAAAACTTAACTGTTGGTTTATGCTGTAGTGAGATTGGGACAGTAATGTTACTTGAGAGGGATGGATTTAACAGATAAATCAGTTCCTTATGGTCAGATGGTGTTAAAACTAAACTCAGATTAAAGTTTAACTTGGTGACTTCATCTGCAAAAGTATCTATAACATTTATTTCTTTTTTCAGACCATTTTCTGAACATGTCTGGTTCAGGCTCATTCTTCTCATTCATAGAATTTTTGGGTTGGAGTTTTATGCCGACAGTTCTTTTTAGAATGTGTCACCAGAGACTATTCAAATCACGAGTCAGATCTGTGCAAAAGCTCCAAGCAGCAAGAGGAAAATAAATAAATAGAGGGATAGGTTTTTTTTTCCCCGCTTGCTGCTCAGGGCTTCTGTAGATCTGTGTCAAAACAGGGAAAATCTCATTTTACAGTGAGAATCTAGAACAGAAGTCTGCTCTCTTCCTCTTTCAACCCTACCACATTTAAATTCATTTAAGCTCTTGTCTCTGAACTTGAACTGGCTGATTAAAAGTATAAAACTGTTTTGTTTGTTTCATTTTGGCAGATACAACCCTTGAACCTGGTGTAATTATCTCAAAAGCTGTTCCTGACCTCCTGTCGTCACCTTCACACACAGGTACTTTTAGCATCTCTTTAAACATGAATAAACTGTTCCACTTTGTAATAGCTCCAAATAGTTGATTAAGAAAGATTCAGGATTTAGTGACTACTCTCTGATACATGGATGTGTTTATTGACTGAAAAAACATGCGCCCTGACTGTGAGCGGGCTTGCATCTCCACAAACCTGACTCTTTTTAAAGACCAAATGGACCATGTGTCTGTCTCTCTGATTGGTTAATCCGCCTGTCAATCACACCCTCTGGAATCAGGAGACAGGACACAGCTCCAGATCCTCTCACCGTCTGTGGAAAGTTTGTCAAAGCTTCTGGCTGGACACATAACCACACTATGACATGGAACGTATCTATCTCCATGGAGAATGTTCCCAAGTATGACTTTAACCTTCTGTTTCCATGGACTCAGGTGACATGCCACCTCCAGAAAGTTACATACTGTAGCTTTAATTAGTCACTAAGTCTGAATCCTTCTTAATAATAAACTATTTGTTTTTGTTCATAATGGTATTAAAAGTGTAGTTCATATAAAGTTAATCTTAAACTCATGGAGAAATAACTGTTGGAATTGGACTTTTCCAGCCGTCACTGCCACCATTGACAATGAAGACGGCGCCCCCTGCTGACAAACCTGTAAACTACACACCTTCACTTTCTGAAGGGTGAGTGACACAGACACGAAAAGCTCTTTCACTTCCAGCGGAAATTGTTGCGTGGGTGAATGTGGTTTCAAGTAAATTGAATAAATAGTTCTGTGTGTGTGTGTGTGTGTGTGTGTGTGTGTGTGTGTGTGTGTGTGTGTGTGTGTGTGTGTGTGTGTGTGTGTGTGTGTGTGTGTGTGTGTGTGTGTGTGTGTGTGTGTGTGTGTGTGTGCGTGTGATGTAGTGTCTATAATCTTTAAACTAAATCATGTTTTAGTTCAGTTTTGGCTTCTGGTTTGTAAATGTCTACTGTTGTTTTTAAAGGAATGAAAACTGTGCACCTGTCAAAGCACCTGTCAGCGCACCTGAATCATGTCTCACCTGTGTGTCTCTGAGCAGTGATTTTTCCAGAGGCCTGCCCCCTGTGTTCAGCAGCGCCCCCCCTGGAGAAGAGTGAGTCACTGCTTTGATTTTGATGCATTTTCTAAAATCAGCCAGAGTCAAAAATGGGTAAACCACCACAGAACCCCACAGAACTCATGACAAAGGAGGCATCAGGCTGATGATGCAGTGATATCACATTAGGGATGTTCTACATGTATGCTTATGGTGGAATGTTCAGCAGTTACCATGGAGACATAGTGGACACATTGTCAAAGAAGTTTTCAGATGGTCTCAAAACTCCAGAAAAAATATAAAATGTGTTGACACAACACATGTTCAGGAGTTGTTGACTAATGCTAGTCTATCTATGACTGTAATGTTATTTGAAAGGGAAGTATTAAATAGCACAACTCAGATCACCTGTTGTAGTTCCAGCTCAGTCAGTTCTTCATGGTCAGATTAAAATCTAACAGAGCTTCTGACAGAGTAGTGCTTACAGTTAGCTTCACACTCCCAGGGAATGTTGATGACATCAGCTGCAAAGTATAAATTCATAACCAGTACACAGTTTGGTGTCAGCTACTTTTCTCAGTAATGAGTAATCTTAACTAGTGACTCTTTCCTCTGCCGTTATAGTTCCAGTCAGTGGCTCTTTATTTTACTGTGAGTCTCAGCTGCAGAGACAGATCACACTCGTGTCATTCAGAGGAGATGTGAACTTTTTCTTTTGTTTTGGGAAGTAAACAAGACGAGGCAACAGATTAGAGACAGTGATTGGCTAAATGTGACCAATCAGAAGCAGTGCTAGGTGGCCGTAAGGATTTTCCTGACTGTTCATTGGTTCAGCACTGACACGTGGGCAAATACAACACACATGAGGAAATATTCTTGCCCAATGGGCTACACAACATCAGCCAGTTCCTCTTACACAACTTCCAACTTCTAAAGTTCTTCCAGGTGTTTAGTTCTACACAAGAGTTCTGTTCTGTTAACACATGGAGTTTGTCTTTAAACTAAATGTTTTAGTTCAGGTTTGTCCTCTTCATTGGTTTGTAACTTTCCTTTGTTGTTTGTAAAGGAAGGAAAACTGTGCACCTGCACCTGTCAAAGCACCTGTCAGCGCACCTGAATCATGTCTCACCTGTGTGTCTCTGAGCAGTGATTTTTCCAGAGGCGAGCCCCCTCTCTTCAGCAGCGCCCCCCCTGGAGAAGAGTGAGTCACTGCTTTGATTTTGATGCATTTTCTAAAATCAGCCAGAGTCAAATATTCACAACTTCCCAGAACTTCACAGAACTCACAGTAAAGTGAGCATCATGTTGATGGAGAGAGTTGTGTGTTGTCACTGGTGTGTACATTGTGTATGAGTGTGATGTAAATGTCACTGTCCTGTGGAAATACATATTCAATACATATTACTATTAAATATGTATTTTGTTTTTAGTGACGAAGTCCAAACAGAAACTCAAGATGATCCTCACTTTTTTGAGGTAAGAAAATTGTCCCTGATTTCCTTTTTTTCTGTGAATTTAATTTCATCTGGAGGCCTGTTGAGTTTTGATTTCAAATGTAATGAAGTTTGTGTTTTAGGAGGTTGGACGTCGCTCTGTGAATCTGCCCAAAGACGTTCTCTGTGAAGAACATGGTGAGTGGACTCCATGACGACACTGTGAAGCTCTCATCAAACAAACTCATGATTACTCTGTCTACATCTCCAAAGCTCAAAATGCTCTGCTCCACCTTGTGATGTCATGAAGTGGTCATTTTCAGGTGAACAGCTCCTTTTCCCTTTAGTTCAGTAGAGATGAGCTGAAATGATCTAATGATTTTAGTGAAGGTGTGTGGAGTTTAAAAACACAGTGGAGCACTTCCTGTATTACCACATGACATCACAAGGTGGAAAAGAGTGTTTTCTGTTTGACAGAAGAAATGGCGTGCTTTGTGTGTTTCACTTGTGTAGTTTGTTTGGAATGGGCAGAGTGATGCTTAAAGTCGTGTTGTGTCTCTGTTTCAGATGAACAGGACGCTCTGCTGCTCTACCAGAACAAGTTAAAGGCTTTTTACACACACAAGTTTAAGCCTGGCCTGAAGGGGGAGCTGCAGTCACAGATAAACTCTAGACTCTATCTGACAGAAGAGACCCCACAGCAGCAGGACTCTCCCCTCCACAGCTCCGACCTGTTCAGACCCACAGCCGGAGCCGGAGCTGCGGTCAGAGGCTGGTGTCCTGGGACGGTCCTGACGGTGGGGGAGGCGGGTGTGGGGAAGAGCCTCCTGCTTCAGTGCTCTCTGCTGGACTGGTGTGAGGGCACAGCTCTGGAAGACGTGCAGATCATTGCTCTTCTGTCTTTCTCTGAGCTGAACCTTCTCCAGAACCAGAGCAGGACTGTACAGGAGCTTCTGGAGGTCTCCTGCCCTGGTCTGAGCAGGTCTGGTCTGATGGACCTGTCTCAGCTCAAACTGCTCCTGATGCTGGACGCTCTGGACGAGTGTCTTCTGCCTCTGGACTTCTCCTCTCAGCTCAGATGTTCAGATGTTTCCAAGTCGATGCCTGTGGAGACTTTAGTAACCCACCTGTTGAAGGGGGACCTCCTGCCCAACGCCCAGCTCTGGATCACCTCTCGCCCTACGGCCGCCTCCTCCATCCCCCCCACCCTCATACACAGAGCCACAGAGCTGCGCGGCTTTACCGACCACCACAAGGAGGCGTACTTCCTCCAGCACCTCCAGGATGAGAGCCTGAGAGCTCAGCTTCGCTCCTGTGCTCCTGTCTACAGTCTGTGCCGCCTGCCTCTGGTCTGCTCCATCATAACTCAGCTCTGTGAGAAGACCAACACCAGGGTCACACACAAGCAGATGTTTGTCCACCTCCTCACCCACCACATGAAGAAGATGCAGCAGAGATATGGACTCCACCAAACACAAGTCCATCGAGTCCTCCTGGCTCTGTCCAGACTGGCCTGGGAGCAGCTGCAGGGAGGGCATCTGACCTTCTGTGAGGAGGAGCTGGAGGCCTGTGGAGTGGAGGTGAAAGAAGCTGTGGTGTACTCCGGATTGTGCACGCAAGTGTCCAGAGGGGGGAGCTGTGGAGTCCAGAGGAGCTTCAGCTTTGTGCATCCATCTGTGCAGGAAGGTCTGGCCTCACTGTTCCTCTATGAAAAGATCTGCTCCGACCCAAACAGGTGAGACAGAGCGAGGGAGCGGGGCCATGCTTTTGGAAAAGTCTAATGACGTTTTTGAAGTTTCGCATTTGTGTGTTTAAAAATCAGATTCTGTTCAGTGCACAATGTGAACATCTCCAGAGCTTTATCATCTGAGAGACTGAAATCTGAACAGACAAACTAATCCAAGAATCCCATGTGTTTCAGAACAGGTTTTAGAGTCTAAAGTTACAGGGTCAACAGCTTTTACACACAGTCAGACCCTGTGGAGACACAGGAAGGGCATCTGACACACAGGGACACATAATAGTTCTTTGCAGAGGACCTTCTGTCTAAATAATCTTAGTCTTTGTGTTTTAATTGTAGCTCCTTGTCACATTTTGACTCGACGGTGCGGCCGTACGACAGATGGACGGATACAGCAAAAACAGAAAACAATATTTAAAGAATTCCTCCTGTTTTTCAGATCCATAAACCTGCTCCACCTTCTGAACCAGATGATCCAAGAGGAGACCCAGAGACCAAACCAAGACCAGGACTCGGAACAAGACCAGGACCAGAACCAGGATCAGGACCAAGACCAAGACCAAGACCAGACCACGACCACGACCAAGACCAAGACCAAGACCAAGACCAAGACCAGACCAGACCAGACCAAGACCGACCACGACCAAGACCAAGACCAAGACCAGGACCAGGACCAGGACCAAGACCCGGACTTGGCTCAGAGAAATCTACATGAGCAATCCAGCCACAACTGGGTAAAATGTGCTCGTTGTGCTGGTCCCAAGCCCAGACAAATGGAGAGGGTGTCATGACAAGGTTTCTGGACCAAAGAAAGGTGGAGCTCTGTCCTCTAGATGAGTTCATGTATCTTGGGTCTAGTTCTAGAGTGAGGGTTTTAGCCTGATGCTGGTGGGTTTAGACCTGGTTTAGATCTCTGCTTTTACCCTCACCTATGGTCATGAACTTTGGTTAATGACCAAAAGAACAAGATTGCAGATACAAGCAGCCGAAATGAGTTTCCTCTGCAGGCTGGCTGTTCCCTCCCCTCGCAGCTGAGGGAGGGCATCTGTTTCAGATGCCTCCCTGGGAAGGTGTTCCGATCACGTCCCATCAGGAGGACGCCCTGGAGAAGACCCAGGACACGCTGGAGGGACTATGTGTCAGGGCTGGCCCCTGAACGCCTCAGGGTTGGGTGGGAGTGAGCTCCAGATATATGTACATACTCTCTATGGGGTTATTTAATCCCATCTGTTTATTTGTAGTATGTGATTAGTATTGTACACTTGTACACGCTGGCGTGTCCCATTAAACTATTAAAGGACTTTTATTCTTATTCCAAAAGGGTGCCTCTGATTTTTTGACCACTTTGTAGTAAGTTTGTCCATTGCAGACTCAGTCATGTTCACTGTGTTGTTCATGTTCAATTTTGAGCCTCGTCTTTGAGGAGCACCTGTTGTGGACTAAGACAACCTGAAGCTCTCACGTCCTCTGTGTTTTTATGCAACTGTTTTTATTTTGTGATGTTTTCAGATTTTTCTGAGCTGAGTGTCTTGGCTGATACTTTGGACAGGTCTATATGAGAGATGCTGAATCTCAATGTAACTTTTTAAATAAAGGGTAAATAAATACAAAATAAAATAAAACATGATTTCAGTGATGATTCTCTTCTCTTTACTGCAGTCACTTTAGACTTTAGGTCTGTCCCTGTGTCTTTCTCACAGACTGTTAGTGTTTATGAAGCATTTTTACTGCTGTTTGAATTCACATGTGCTGAAACTTCAACTCAAAGAGTAAAGTTTCTTCAAAATAACAGTACTCAAGTACAAGTACAAAGTAGTGGTTCAATAAATGACTCATGTAGGAGTCAAAGTATTCTGGAAAAGTACTCAAAGTGCAATTTCTTCTATTTAAGTAAATGTAACTGAGCACAGCTTCAGGTCTAGTCAGAGATCAGTAAAAGCATGAGCTGGTTTTGTGAAAAACAATGCCATACTGTGGAACATGCAGGCACATGTAACATTAGGCAAACAGGTGTGGGCCTCCGAAAAGTTCCACAGTGTGGCTTTAAAGGAACTGTATCCTGCACTCATGTGAGGGGCATTCTCCTTTCTGATTGGATAATCACCTGGAACCAAAACACCAAATTAGAACATGAATTTAAAAAAAAGAACTGGACCATCATGTCCAGAGTTTCTGTGATGAAGAAGAAATCAGCATGAGAATAGTTCTGTTTGATTTGAACATGTTTACCTCAAATCTGCATGGACACACAGAACAGTCTAGTTCTTCAATCTAGTCCTGGTTCAGTCCACGTTTAGTCCTGGTTTAGTCCTGGTTCAGTCCTGCTTTAGTCCTGGTTTAGTCCTGCTTCAATCCTGGTTTAGTCCTGGTTTAGTCCTTTAGTCCTGGTTTAGTCCTGGTTTAGTCCAGTCCTTTAGTCCTTTAGTCCTGGTTCTTTAGTCCTGGTTTAGTCCTGGTTTAGTCCTGGTTTAGTCCTGGTTTAGTCCTTTAGTCCTGGTAGTCCTTTAGTCCTGGTTTAGTTCAGTCCTGGTTCAGTTCAGTCCTGGTTTAGTCCTGGTTTAGTCCTGTTTAGTCCTGGTTTAGTCCTGGTTTAGTCCTTTAGTCCTGGTTTCAGTCCTGGTTCAGTCCTGGTTCAGTCCTGGTTCTTTAGTCCGTTTAGTCCTTTAGTCCTGGTTTAGTCCTGGTTCAGTCCTGGTTTTAGTCCTGGTTTAGTCCTGGTTTAGTCCTCAGTCCTTAGTCCTGCTTTAGTCCTGGTTCAGTCCTGGTTTAGTCCTGCTTTAGTCCTGCTTTAGTCCTGCTTTAGTCCTGCTTTAGTCCTGGTTCAGTCCTGGTTCAGTCCTGGTTTAGTCCTGGTTTAGTCCTGGTTTAGTCGTGTGAAACAGATGAAGTAAATGTGTTCTGACCCAACATAAGTTTATTTAGATTTCTACTTTCTACATATTTTACAGTCCACGTTAACACTGGAATAGGCCTATAGAAAAATATCTGCTTCTGTGCACCACGACCGTCTTCCACCACAGAACATCAAGTCTTTCACAGAATCCAAAAGTCCTGGTTCAGTCCCGGTTCAGTCCGTCTCCAGGATTCACCAAAACTGTACCAAGAATCCCACGAGGAAAATGAAAAATCCTTTGTTTGTGTCCCAGAGGGAGACACAGTGTCGCTGTTGTGTGTGGTTGGATCTACGTTTTGTGTAGATCCGCCGGTTTAGTCTTTGTACCATGTGACCTTAATATTGTGTTGCTTTTTGGTGGGTCCATCGCTCCTTCAAAATAAAAGTCTTTGTTTTTGATAAGATTCTTACTCCATGAGCCAACGTCACCATAGCGCAGCAGAAACTTTACAGTAAAACTATGGTACAGTGGAGGTCAAAGGAACAGAGGAACAGAGGAGAAGAATAGAGGGTCAGAGGAGCAGAGGAGATGGTCTGAAGAGCAGAGGAGAAGAACAGAGGGTCAGAGGAACAGAGAGAGAAGGTCAGAGGAACAGAGGAGAAGGTCAGAGGAACAGAGGAGAAGGTCAGAGAACAGAGGAGAAGGTCAGAGGAACAGAGGAGAGGTCAGAGGTGCAGAGGATATTGCAGGTTGCTGGTTGAATTCCCACAGTTGCTGGTCTGTATTGTCAGTCGTTGGGAGGTTGTGGGTCCGATTCCCCGAGCAGCCAGTACGTGGTCATCTTGCCCTTCCCCTTGATGTCGATTTCTCCTCGGAGCTCCAGCTGAAAACTGTTGAAGTCCATGAGAACATCGCGGGTCGCAGAAGAAACATGGATCTTCAACGCTGCAGAAGACAGAAGACCATGAGACAGACTGGACCTGCTTTAGTCCTGGTTCAGTCCTGGTTTAGTCCTGGTTTAGTCCTGGTTCAATCCCGGTTTAGTCCTGGTTCAGTCCTGGTTCAGTCCCGGTTTAGTCCTGGTTCAGTCCCGGTTTAGTCCTGCTTTAGTCCTGGTTCAGACCTTCTCCTGTCGACTCCATTCGTGATGACGTGTTCACGGTGTCTCCGAACAGACAGTATCGAGGCATCTTGAGGCCGACCACTCCGGCACACACCGGACCTGCACCGGACCAGGACCCACACGGTTACATTTGGATTTATTCATACTTTTCAGTCACATTTCGCTGGGGGTGTTCTACATGTATGTCTATGGTAGAAAGTTCTGCAGTTGCCATGGTGACACAGTGTACACATTAGCAAACAGAGGCAAAAATGTTTTAAGAATGGCACATGTTCAGGAGCCTGTGATCAGAGTGAGTGTTCATGCTGCTGTTCAGGAGTTACACATCTCTTCTGACTGTAATGTTCTTTGAGAGGGACGTGTTCAACAGCACATATCAGCTCATCTGTGCCTTACTTCCACCTCAGTCACTTCTTTATGGCGAGACTGTGATCAAATAAAGCTCAGTGTAACAGAGTTTCAGACAGAGCGGTGCCTAAAGTTAGCTTCATACCCCCAGGGAATGTTGATGACATCATCTGCAAAGTGTGACTCTCGTCAGCGTGAGCAGCTCAGAGCCCACAGGGTGAGGCCTGCTGCGCTGGAGAGGCTCACACTGTCCACTGTTTCTGATTCAAGAAACTTTACTGAAGCTGGAGCCAATCAGAGGGCAGCATGAGCGCCTCACTGTGGGCTGCCACTTACTGTGACTTATTTTATTTTATTTATTTTATTTTATTTATTTGAGACAGAGCACAATTTTTACATTTACCTTAACAGGACAGATGTATTGTACATCAGGTTCATTTCCACCTGTTGTCTCTGGCCAGGTTCATTGATTGATTGTATTTAACTGACCTTGACTATCAACTGTTCTGGAGACCTGGAGCATGTTTTGGGCAGATGGGGAAACCGCAGCACCCGGAGGAAACTCATCCAGACACGGGGAGAATCCTTCTTGCTGTGAGACATGAGTGCTAACCACTCAGCCACCGTGCCGCCAAACTTAAATCAGCTTGTGTCCTCAGTGACACTTAAGGGTTAAGGCAATTTTAATTTTTAAGAACAAAGTGACACAGATCTGTGCTTCTCCACACATTTGTTCTTTAAAGTCTGTCTGAAAAATCCCACCAATCCCAGCACACTTGTATAATCTACCTATTTTATGTATTTGAATCTATTTTTGTGAAATTATAATAAGAAATCACTAGGACTGTGCAAAAATATCAAAATATTGATATATAGTATCGTTTAATGGAATGATATGGTATTGATATCGTGGTCTGCTGTATCGATATATCACCAAAAGTATTTTTTGGGTATATTTTACTAAATTATTTTGTTATAGCCACAGTTTTGTTGTTTGTTCAGAGGAAGGAAACTCATTTATGTGACACATTTGACATTTTCACTGTTTTGATGATTAAAATGTTTGTGTTTCATATGAACTTTGCACAAGAAGAAGTTTAACAAAGACTTTTGGTATCACACACATGATTTAGACTTTTTTTTTTTTAATTGATCAAATTGATTTGAAATATATCAAAACAATGTACATAACATACAAACATATGTATCATATCGTGACCTGTGTATCGAGGTAAGTATTTTATCTGCAACTTCTTAATGATGTCCAGCCCTAGAAATCACCATTTCAGCCATTTTGATGAACATACAACAGTTATTAAAAGTGTGCTGTTATTGTACTATTGATAATCTCCATAGCAACAGGTGTGGGGGAGGAGCAGAGAGGACTTCTGGATTCTGCTCGTGAATGTCTGAAGTGAAGAAGTTCGAAATGAAATGAAGAAGTTTGTTACAGCTCCAGGTGTGGGAACAAACATCTGACTGCTCATGAAGCTGTGATACTAACTCTGAGAGGTGTTTTACCCCCTCAGCTTTTACCCCTGTGAGTTTGTGTCTGTGAGTTTGTGTCTGTGAGCTTGTGTCTGTGAGTTTGTGTCTGTGAGTTTGTGAGCTTGTTTCTGTGAGTTTGCGTCTGTGAGTTTGTGTCTGTTAGTTTGTTTCTGTGAGTTTGTTTCTGTGAGTTTGTGTCTGTGAGTTTGTGCGTCTGTGAGTTTGCGTCTGTGAGTTTGCGTCTGTGAGTTTGCGTCTGTGAGTTTGTCTGTGAGTTTGCGTCTGTGAGTTTGCGTCTGTGAGTTTGTGTCTGTGAGTTTGTGTCTGTGAGTTTGCGTCTGTGAGTTTGCGTCTGTGAGTTTGTTTCGTCTGTGAGTTTGCGTCTGTGAGTTTGTGTCTGTGAGTTTGCGTCTGTGAGTTTGCGTCTGTGAGTTTGCGTCTGTTAGTTTGTTTCTGTGAGTTTGCGTCTGTGAGTTTGCGTCTGTGAGTTTGTGTCTGTTAGTTTTTGTCTGTGAGTTTGCGTCTGTGAGTTTTGTGTCTGTGTCTGTGAGTTTGTGTCTGTCTGTGAGTTTGTGTTGTCTGTGAGTTTGCGTCTGTGAGTTTGCGTCTGTGAGTTTGTGTCTGTTAGTTTGTTTCTGTGAGTTTGCGTCTGTGAGTTTGTGTCTGTGAGTTTGTTTCTGTGAGTTTGTCTGTGAGTTTGTGTCTGTGAGTTTGTGTCTGTGAGTTTGTGTCTGTGAGTTTGCGTCTGTGAGCTTGTGTCTGTTAGTTTGTTTCTGTGAGTTTGCGTCTGTGAGTTTGTGTCTGTGAGTTTGTTTCTGTGAGTTTGTGTCTGTGAGTTTGCGTCTGTGAGTTTGCGTCTGTGAGCTTGCGTCTGTGAGTCTTGCGTCTGTGAGTTTGCGTCTGTGAGTTTGCGTCTGTGAGTTTGCGTCTGTGAGCTTGCGTCTGTGAGCTTGCGTCTGTGAGCTTGCGTCTGTGAGTTTGCGTCTGTTAGTTTGTTTCTGTGAGTTTAAGTCTGTGAGTTCTGTGAGTTTGCGTCTGTGAGTTTGCGTCTGTGAGTTTGCGTCTATGAGTTTGCGTCTGTTAGTTTGTTTCTGTGAGTTTGCGTCTGTGAGTTTGCGTCTGTGAGTTTGTGTCTGTTAGTTTAAGTCTGTGAGTTTGCGTCTATGAGTTTGCGTCTGTGAGCTTGTGTCTGTTAGTTTGTTTCTGTGAGTTTGCATCTGTGAGTTTGTTTCTGTGAGTTTGTGTCTGTGAGTTTGCGTCTGTGAGCTTGCGTCTGTGAGCTTGCGTCTGTGAGCTTGCGTCTGTGAGTTTGCGTCTGTGAGCTTGCGCTTGCGTCTGTGATTTGCGTCTGTGAGTTTGCGTCTGTGAGTTTGCGTCTGTGAGTTTGCGTCTGTGAGTTTGCGTCTGTGAGTTTGCGTCTGTGAGTTTGCGTCTGTGAGCTTGCGTCTGTTAGTTTGTTTCTGTGAGTTTGCGTCTGTGAGTTTGTGTCTGTGAGTTTGCGTCTGTAAGTTTGCGTCTATGAGTTTGCGTCTATGAGTTTGCGTCTGTTAGTTTGTTTCTGTGAGTTTTCGTCTATGAGTTTGCGTCTGTGAGCTTGTGTCTGTTAGTTTGTTTCTGTGAGTTTGCATCTGTGTGAGTCTTGAGTTGCGTCTGTGAGTTTGCGTCTGTGAGTTTGCGTCTGTGAGTCTTGCGTCTGTGAGCTTGCGTCTGTGAGCTTGCGTCTGTGAGCTTGCGTCTGTGAGCTTGCGTCTGTGAGTTTGCGTCTGTGAGCTTGCGTCTGTGAGTTTGCGTCTGTGAGCTTGCGTCTGTGAGCTTGCGTCTGTGAGCTTGCGTCTGTGAGCTTTTACCGCTGTGGATGCCGATGCGCAGTTTGAGCTGAAGTTCTGGTCGGTGTCGTATCCTGAAGGAGTGGACGGCCTGGAGCAGAGCCAGAGCCATCCGGGCCACCTCTCTGCCGTGGAGTTTCCCGTTCCGCACCGGTAACCCTGAGACCACCATGTACGCGTCACCGATCGTCTCCACCTGAGGGCGCACACACACACACACACACACACACACACACACACACACACACACGGTTGTGTGCCAAACTCCCACAACCACTTTGAAATAGGAGGAGGGGCGGGGTCTGGGGTATAAGGAGCAGTGTGATTGGTCGAATAGGTATCAGACTCCGCCCCTGGAGCCAGGACAGTCATGTGTGATGTCATGTAGTACTTGTAATGTTCACCGGCCGTTAGAAGCAGCAACTGTAGCTCATTTGCACTAATGCCAGAAAAAGAAGAGTAGATAACGCTCTTAAAACAGCACATGAACAGTAGGTTGGTCCACCATGGTCAAAAATAAAGTTTCAGATAATCTCGATTAGAACCCTGCGTTAGGTTTTATCATCCAAAAGATGATCTGGAGGTCTGGAGCTGTCAGCGTGAGGTCTGGAGGTGTCAGCGTGAGGTCTGGAGGTGTCAGCGTGAGGTCTGGAGGTGTCAGTGTGAGGTCTGGAGGTGTCAGGTGAGGTCTGGAGGTGGTCAGGTGTCAGGTGTCTGGAGGTGTCAGTGTGAGGTCTGGAGGTGTCAGTGTCAGGTCAGTGTGAGGTCTGGAGGTGTCAGTGTCAGTGTGGAGGTCTGGAGGTGTCAGTGTCAGTGTTCTGGAGGTGTGTGTGTTCTGGAGTGTCAGTGTGAGGTCTGGAGGTGTGTGAGGTCGTGTGAGGTCTGGAGGTGTCAGCGTGAGGTCTGGAGGTGTCAGCGTGAGGTCTCTGTGTCAGGTGTGAGGTGTGTGAGGTCTGTGTCAGTGTGTCAGTGTGTCAGTGTGAGGTCTGGAGGTGTCAGTGTCAGTGTGAGGTCTGGAGGTGTCAGTGAGGTCTGGAGGTGTCAGTGTCAGTGTGAGGTCTGGAGGTGTCAGTGTCAGTGTGAGGTCTGGAGGTGTCAGTGTCAGTGTGAGGTCTGGAGGTGTCAGTGTCAGTGTGAGGTCTGGAGGTGTCAGTGTGAGGTCTGGAGGTGTGAGTGTGAGGTCTGGAAGTGTCAGTGTGAGGTCTGGAGGTGTCAGTGTGTGTCTGAGGTGGAGTGTGAGGTCTGGAGGTGTCAGTGTCAGTGTGAGGTCTGGAGGTGTGTCAGTCAGTGTGAGGTCTGGAGGTGTCAGTGTGAGGTCTGGAGGTGTCAGTGTGAGGTCTGTGAGGTGAGGTCAGGTGTGAGTGTGAGGTCTGGAGGTGTCAGTGTGAGGTCTGGAGGTGTCAGTGTGAGGTCTGGAGGTGTCAGTGTGAGGTCAGTGTGAGGTCTGGAGGTGTCAGTGTGAGGTCTGGAGGTGTCAGTGTGAGGTCTGGAGGTGTCAGTGTGAGGTCTGGAGGTGTCAGTGTGAGGTCTGGAGGTGTCAGTGTGAGGTCTGGAGGTGTCAGTGTGAGGTCTGGAGGTGTCAGTGTGAGGTCTGGAGTTCTTTGTCCTTCTGCTCTTACACCCAAAAATAATATCATATATTAACTTCCTTTTCACACAATGTGAACTTTGCCTGTTTATAAAAAAGCATCAACTGATCAAAGTGTCAAAATCTGGTCCTCTCCACCAGAGGGCGCCAAAGCAACACATATTTAAAACAACATGTTCATCTCACAGACACAAGAAAGAACAATTTCTTTTCATAAAAAATCTTCAGATCAGTATTTGTTTTCAAATTTTAAAGGTCCTATATTACAGAAAAATTACTCCTCATAAACAGACCTGGAGTTGTGTTTTGTTTCATTCACACATGTTTGAGTAACTCTTTATTATTAGTCTGCATTTCCAAAGCTTAAAATGCTCTGTTCCACCTTGTGATGTCATAAAGCTGTAGCTTTCAAGTGAACAGTTATATTTAGTTCATAAGAGATTGAAGGTGTTTGTAAAAACAGTGAACTGCTCTCATATTGCCCCAATCGAACGATAGAAATCATATTTTTAAAACTGACAAATAAAACATTAAAGGTGCACTGTGTAACTTCTCTGGTGGAGACTCCGCCATGTTCTCACCTCTATGGAGATGTGAACATTTTGCCTGGAATGTCCCACAGTATGGTTTTAAACTTCTCTATCTCCATGGAGACAGGTCAGATGTATGGAGTAAGAATGTTCACATGTTTAAATGTATTTTAGCACTGATAATGAAATACCAGAAAGACAGACATGTTTCATGTTTTACTGTGAACAGAAAAAGTAAAAACATCTCCATGACAACAAGCAAAAGTTCCATAGTGCACCAGATATCAGCATGACAGTGTGTGCTGTGTCCACTAGAGGGCGCCACAGCACAAGGTAAGAATCAGAAATGGACCAAATCCTTGTACTTAGTGAATAAAGTATTATTAAATACTGTATATGTATCTATTTTTACCTTGTAAACATCGAAGTTGTCGATGATGGCGTCAAAGCAGGTGTAGAGGTCGTTCAACAGAGTCACAACCTGTAAACACAGCACAAGTACTCACAATACTGTGTACTAGTACTCCAGGAAAAGTACTACAAAGTGTCACAATAAACTCCACAAATATACAACAGACACCTCCAATGAGGTACTCTCTATTTGTGTGTGTGTGTGTTTACTCACAGTGGGTCCTCGCTGGGTGCTCACCTCCATGGGGGTGCTCTCTGCAGGTGTGTGTACTTGTACTGGGTGCTCTGTGGGTGCTCACCTCTATGGGGGTGCTCTCTGCAGGTGTGTGTACTTGTACTGGGTGCTCTGTGGGTGCTCACCTCCATGGGGGTGCTCTCTGCAGAGATGGCCGTGAATCCCACGATGTCACTGAAGTAAATGGTCACAGAGTCGAAGGCTTCAGCCTGAACCGTCTCCCCACGCTTCAGCTGCTCCGCCACCGAACTGAGCAAAGACAGACAAGAGGCTCCGAATAAGAACAAAGAAGAGCAAAATAACATGAAAACCTGTCCAAATCATTTTCAAAAAGGGATTTGAAATCAGACAAAGTTACTGCACTGCACAGTTACTGAAACCTTTACAAGCTCGTCACTCTTCATTTACTCCACACTCACACACTCCACACTGTAGCCACAGCTGCCCTCGGACAAGAGGCTGCCAGTGTGCTACTATTACTAGTAGTAGTAGTAGCAGTAGTAGCAGTACTCACTGTGGTAGTATCTGGTAGAGCAGAGCCTCAGCCTTCCTCTTCTCCTCGTGGTAGGCCTGAGTCCTCTCCTCCACCAGCTCCTCCAGGTTGTTGGCGTACTGCTCCATCCGAGACAGAAGGTTATCCAAGATGTTTGTCCGGGACTCCCTGAACAACAACACGGTTCAAGATCCTGGTCTAGTCCTGGTCTAGTCCTGGTCTAGTCCTGGTTGAGTCCTCACTTGTTCTGTTTGCGCAGCAGGACTTTGATCTGGCTGAAGTCTGGTCTCTCAGTGGGCTCTTCGGCCCAACAGCGGGTCATGAGAGTACCCAGCTCGGGGCTGTGGACCTGAGGGTCGATTGTGGGCCTGAGGCAGGGCCACTCCCCAAGCACCACACGGTCCACGATCTCTGAAACACCACACAACTGTAAGAAGGCAGTTTAAGCAAAACCAGGTCTAAACCAGGTCTAAACAAGGTCTACAGCAGGTCTACAGTGGGTCTAAAGCAGGTGTACAGAAGGTCTAAACAAGGGCTAAACCAGGTCTAAACAAAGTCTAAACCGGGTCTAAACCAGGTCTAAACCAGGTCTAAACCAGGTCTAAACCAGGTCTACAGGAGGTCTAAACCAGATCTAAATCAGGTGTACAGAAGGTCTAAACCAGGTCTAAACCAGGTCTACACCAGGTCTAAACAAGGTCTAAACCAGGTCTAAACCAGGTCTAAACCAGGACTAAACCAGGACTAAAGCAGGTGCAAATTAGATCTTTTCTAAATGCAGACGACATATGGAGATGATCATTTTCTCTGACATATGTCGACTGTAATCACATGAATATGGGCTGTTCTATCACACCCTGGCTCACAGAAGCAGGATGCTGCTGCAGGGGCCTGTATACCTCACAGCTTAGAAAGAACTCTACAAACTCGTGACCCACAGAGGTTTCTCCTGCCTGTTCTTTGTTTGGGATCAGCTCCACAGACTTGTCATATTCATCTTACAGTTTAAACATTCAGGTCTTTGAGGTTAAATAATGGAACCACTTTCTGAGGATATTATGAAAAACCTGTCAGAGAAGACACTGAACGTTGTGCCAGTTTTTGTTTCATGTGGATAGGCTCAGGAATGACAGAGATATGAACCATAAACCAAGACACATGTCATTATGGAGGACTGAGCACATGGAACCTTCTGCACCACTGAGGATTACACACATATAAGACACATGGAAATAGAAAAGAAAGCACTACCATTTAATGTGAAAAATCCAAATAATCTAAATAAAGAGTTCTTTTTATCAACATAATAGTGTCTGAATTGTATTTTGTAGTATCAAAATCAGGTTTGAAGTTTTAGTATCATGACAATACTCAACAATGAAGAAAGGGCTCTTATTTCCAGAGGGACCTGTTATTGTGGCTGGTCATGATATTCAGATGAAATTAAAAATTCTTATTTAAAGCTCTTGTGAACTTTAAGTCATGTTAGAATGTTGTTGCCTCCTCAAAAACAGACCTGGAGTTGTGTTTTGTTTCATTCACACATGTTTGAGTAATTCTTTATTATTAGTCTAAATCTCCAAAGCTCCAAATGAGCTCTTAATGAGCCTTATAATCCAGTGCACCTTATAGTCTGAAAAATATGGTCATATGGGCCCTTTAAAAAAAAAAACATTTGTGACAAAAGCAGGGTCAGAGGGAGGGTTAGAGGGAGGGTCTCCAGAGGAAATGAGTGTGTTCTTTTCAATATTCGTGTTTTGTGTTTGTGATGGACGTTTTGTGTCAGATGAAGGCGAGGAGCGGCGTTCTCTATCGCACCATCACATTTCAACATTTATCAGACAAACTCTCATTTCCTGAGAGACGTTTACTAATGAATACATGTCGTCTAATCAGGACAGAAGAGCACTACAGCAATGGACCAAAGCAGGACCGAAGCAGGACTGAACCGAGACTGAACGGAGACTGACCCGAGACTGAACCGGGACAGAACCAGGTCTAAAGCAGGACTAAAGGAGGACTAAACCAGGATTAAAACAGGACTAAAGCAGGACTAAAAAGGACTAAACTAGGACTAAACTATGAGTAAACCAGAACTAAATCTGGACTAAATCAGGTCTAAACAAGAAACTAAGTAAGTAACTAAAAGTCTAAAGTAAGAAGCACCAAAAGTTTAACCGGGTGTTTATGGAGAAGAGAATATGTGTGCATAAGCTTTCTTTGGGAACCCTGTTATATTTTTGTGTGCTGTAAATTTTTAGTTCAAAAGAGATTCTCCTAAATCATCTTTTCAGATCTTTTAACCATGTTATTGTAGTTTCTTCTCAATGATCCTCTGAAGTTGTATTTGAAGTGATTCATGTTTGAGTCATCTTTATTCTCCTGGATTTAAAGCGTCATTGCTCTGATTTCCCCGTTTTCAGATCCACCAGTACAAGCTCACTGTGACGTGCACTGTGACGTGCACTGTGACGTTCGCTGTGACGTGCGCTGTGACGTGCACTGTGACGTGCGCTGTGACGTACACTGTGACGTACACTGTGACGTACACTGTGACGTACACTGTGACGTACACTGTGACATGCACTGTGACGTACACTGTGACGTACACTGTGACGGACGTGCACTGTGACGTACACTGTGACATGCACTGAGACGTACACTGTGACATGCACTGTGACGTACACTGTGACGTACACTGTGACGTACACTGTGACGTACACTGTGACGTGCACTGAGACGTACACTGTGACATGCACTGTGACGTACACTGTGATATAACTGTGACATGCACTGTGACGTACACTGTGACGTACACTGTGACGTGCACTGTGATGTGCACTGAGAAATACACTATGACGTACACTGTGACGTATACTGTGACGTGCACTGTGATGTGCACTGAGAAATACACTATGACGTACACTGTGACGTATACTGTGATATAACTGTGACGTACATTGTGTCGTACAATATGACATACACTGTACACTGTGATGTCCACACTTCCTTCTCCAGTTTGATGTTCTTAATGGGTGATACTCGTAGGATTCTGCAGTGTTGTGTCGTCATTTTGCATAAAATGTAAAAAACACTGCTCTAGTGTGATGTGCAGTTTCCATAGGAGGAGCCCACAGCATGTGGCACTTTGTTGTCATCACGTTTACGGCCACGTCAGCTCCCATTGGACACTGCAGTTTTCTAACACGGAAGTGAGAGCATTTGTTTATTTTATGAAGTTGTTTTAGCTCAATATAGTGATTAAAATGTCCAGATTATAACAGCATGATCCACAGGGGTCAGAGTCACTATAGAGACACACAAGCACTGTAGCGCTGGTTTAAACTTAACTAAACATAATGATGCAGGCATTAAAAAAAAAAAAGTACAGCCAACTAAGTGTTAAAAAAGACATATTTTCTTCATTCACTGCTGTTGACAGGGTAAGAGATCAGAGGTTATTTTAATCTCAGCAACTGGAGCATCAAACTGCTTCACCAGTTCTCCAGGAGAAATTACATGAGGGGCTCATGTGTAGGTCTCTGAGCGGGTGTCTCACCTTTAGGGGTGAGCGGGTGTCTCACCTTTAGGGCTGAGCGGGTGTTTCACCTTTAGGGCTGAGCGGGTGTCTCACCTTTAGGGCTGAGCGGGTGTTTCACCTTTAGGGCTGAGCGGGTGTCTCACCTTTAGGGCTGAGCGGGTGTTTCACCTTTAGGGCTGAGCGGGTGTCTCACCTTTAGGGCTGAGCGGGTGTCTCACCTTTAGGGCTGAGCGGGTGTCTCACCTTTAGGGCTGAGCGGGTGTCTCACCTTTAGGGCTGAGCGGGTCTCCCTGGATGTAGAAGGTGCCTCGTCGTAGCGCCACCTCCTGGAGCACGATGCCGAAGCTGTAGACGTCACCCTTCTGTGTGCCCTGAGGGGGCGGAGCCTCCAGACGCAGCAGCTCAGGAGCCATCCACAAGCGCTCTGAAACCAGACCAGGACTAAACCAGGACTGAAACCAGACCAGGACTAAACCAGGACCAATTGAGGAGTAAACCAGGCCTGAACCAGGACAAAGTGAGACCCAGACCAGGTCTAAACAGGACTCACGTGCGTAGTATGCGTGGGCGTCCTTTCCGTTCTCACTGTCCGCTCTGAAACTGGACAGTCCGTAGTCTGTGATCTTCAGGACGAAGCGGTTGTCCACCACACAGTTGGACGACTTCAGCTTCCCATGAGACACGATCACACTGTTATGGAGGAACAGCATGCCCTAGAACAGAGCACACTGGGAATAGAACCCACAACCACAACAGGACTAAAGCAGGAGTTAAGAGGAGTCTAACCCAGGAGTCTAACCCACAACCTGTTCACTGAGAGAGGGAAACCACTCTGAGTCTGCCACAGTCACACAGGGAGGACTTGCACACTGTTGTTGTGCTCTTAGGCAGTTGAAGGTTGGGGTTAAATTCCCAGTGTGTCTTTACCTTGACTATGTCGTTGATGAGTGAATACTTGAACATCCAGTCAAGAGTGATGCTGTCGTTCTCCAAGACGTCCTTCAGAGGCACAGACACAAGAATTATTTTTGAGACCAGCGTTTTTTGTTTTTTTTCCATATTCAAACGATAAAAGCAGGATGAGGACGTGCAGTACTGTTACTACACATGTGAATACAAATCATCGAGAAGCATATGCCCACCATCTGTTTTATGAAGGACTCACGGAGCTCTCCCTCAGGCAACCTCACCCTGAGGGAGCCTCATGACAGTGTGAAAGGTTGGGAGATTATATTTGTGTTCAAACCTTCTGGTCAAATCCAGATCTGGTGTTCTCTTTTTTTCTAAGCAGGGTCGGCCTGGCCAGGGTTCGGGTGGGAGACCAGTGGAGAGACCAGTGTGTCACTGACACTTCACTCATGTTCCCAGTGTAAATGTGGTGTGTCCATGTTGGTCGTGGTCAGAGGGGCTGAGGGTGCAGACTGGCAGCCTTGCTTCTGTCAGTCTGCCCCAGGGCAGCTGTGGCTATAGGTGCAGTTTACATCACTGAAAGCTCCATTTGAGTTTCACACACTTTACAATGACGTGTGGTGAGTGTACAAAAAGAACAAAAGTGTGGCTGTTTGCTGCAGGTGTTCTGATCAGTGGGAGCAGGTAGAGGGTGCTCTTGGAAAAAGGATCAAAACTCAAACACAACAAGACTCCAGGCACTCCAAAGAAGTCAAAAGTAAAAAAAAAGTCAAAAATCACACAAGGAAAAATAGAGTAAAGGCCTTTATTTAAATGTATTTCCTTCTTTGGAGTGCCTGGAGTCTTGTTGTGTTTGACATGTGGTGAGTGTTGGAGCTGGTGCAAATGTGGCACCAGCTCCAACAACACCAAGTTACTGGAGATTTTCTCCCAGTCTGTGCTGGTCCCTGTACTTGGCTGTGTTCTGCTGGGGGAGCAGCACCAGGAAAAGGGACATGGGGAGGATTGACAAACTGATCTGTAAATCTGCTCACGTGATCCACTGTGAGCTGTAGACATTTGTGACACTGAGGGACACGAGGACACTGGACAAACTGCTCTCCATCATAGACACTCCTGCTCACCTACTGCACCAGACTATAGAGGGACAGATAATACTCCCTACAACTGTACAACAACTCACCCTGATGTAACTGATAACCCTATGTTCTGTCAATCATCATATTATTGTTGCACTGTCTTCTATGACCTCTTGTATAGAACTGAGATTTTATATTTTATTCTTTATTTTTCTATTTTATTTTGACTTGCACATACATTTTTATAATTATGTTTCTTGCTTTCTTTTTTTTGCCACTTATTTAGAATGTATTACTACCGTTTAAATTGTTTGTATTTGTTATTACATTATATTGTGATGTACTGTGTCCAAATAATTTCCCCTGTGGATTAATAAAGTTTGTCTGCGTCTAAGTCTTAGTGCCCTGTGGCATAAGGGCAGACGTGGCTGTGAGTCGGACACTCTCACAACAAACATGTTGAGTGTTTAATCCACAGAGAAGCACAGAGCTCTGCCCACAGTTTAAACAACTACAGATATCCTGAAAGCAGTCAGTAATGTAGTAATTGCAGTAGTAGCTGTAGCAGCCGTAGTAATATCAGTAGCAGTACTAGTAATATAATAAGTAGTAGTAGTACCTGCAGACTCCCACGGGGGCAGTACTCTGTGATGATGCAGATGTTTGGAGGGTCGATGCAGGCGCCGATGAAACGTGTCAGATGCTCGTTCTGAATGTCTCTCATCTGCAACAAGAACATCTCATCAGGAGGAGAACCAGGGACCTTCTCCAGATCTGAGCCTGGTTTGGAGGACGTTGCTGGACCCTTCGGCTTTGCCTTATCAGATGATGGAAACTTCATTAAACACTGCTGCAGTGAGTTCTGATCAGAGTTTTGGAGATGATTCAAATATAAACAGCAACATGTGGTTTCAGATAAGGGTCTCTCTGAATACACGACAGATTTTGTGGTTTACATGTTATTTAAATAATGTTATGTTTTTCTCATCACAAACACACCTGGAGTTGTGTTTGGTTTCATTAACACACAACCCTGCAGATTTAGTTCTCTCAAATACAAAACACCACCTTGTGATGTCATTTGGTAATACAGGAAGTGCCCTTGAAATACCAGTCTCTACTGATCTAAAGGTAAAAGGAGCTGTTCACTTGAAAACTACCACTTCATGACATCACAAGGTGTAACAGGTCATTTTGAGCTCTGGAGATGTAGACAGACTAATAAAAGAGTCACTTAAACATGTGTGAATGAAACAAAACACAACTCCAGGTCTGTTTTGAGGAGGGAACATCATTATAACATGATTAAAAGCTCACAAATCCATTTCTGTAATATGGGAACTTTAAATGTTTTTGGTGTGAATGTGAACAAAGCCAGTTCCATCTGATGTGAGTAATCTGATTTCTCTCAGATTGTTCACACCTGTGCTTTTGCAGGACAAGAAAGTTATGCAAAAAAAAAAATACAATAATATATGAATTTTTACTAAATGACCACAAAGGGGAGCCACTCACATGTTTGAGCTCAAAAAGCACCTTCCTGTTCAGCTCCACTCGCTTCCTGCTTATGTATTTGATCGCCACAATGTTCCCCTGAAACAGAAGACACCGAGTCATCTGTGTGTGTGTGTGTGTGTGCGCGTGTGTGTGCGTGTGCATGTGTGTGTGTGTGTGTGCGTGCGTGTGTGTGTGTGCATGTGCGTGTGCATGTGCATGTGTGTGTGTGTGTGTGTGTGTGTGTGTGTGTGTGCGTGTGTGTGTGTGTGTGTGTGCATGTGCGTGTGCATGTGTGTGTGTGTGTGTGTGTGTATGTGTGTGTGCGTGTGTGTGTGTATGTGTGTGTGTGTGCGTGTGTGCATGTGCATGTGTGTGTGTGGACAGGGACACTCCACCTGCACATGACAGAGTGAGTGTGATGTCACCCACAGCATTCAGCTCCAGTCAAATGAAGCTCATCGAGGCTGATGGTTACAGGGGTGAATTTGGGCCAAGTTCCATATTTGGAATTCTGACCGCGAGTATCATAGCAACCACAGAGCCAATCAGGAGTGAGGGTGCTGAAGGTAACACCCTTTCCTGAGTTAGCAAGGAGCGGGCAGGAATGACATGATTGGCCTGATTGGTCTGTTAATATTAACATATGTTCATATCTTGATTTAGGGACACAATTGTGAAATAAAAATCCCAAGATCATGTAGAGCGGGTTCAGATCAACATTTTATGACCAAAATAACAAGTCTGACAGCAGCAGTTACAGAGAGAGGAGTGACAGTTTTAAACTTAACTTAAACTTAAAAAGTGCTCACTTCCTATTTGGAACCTGACAACTATCGGGCTAGCTGGACATACGTGTGGACATGTTGGAATACGTGTGGACATGTTGGAATATGTGTGGACATGTTGGACATACATGTGGACATACATGTTGGACATGTTGGACACGTATAGACATGTTGGACATACGTGTAGACATGTTGGACATACGTGTAGACATGTTGGACATACGTGTAGACATGTTGGACATACGTGTGGACATGTTGGACATACGTGTGGACATGTTGGAATACGTGTGGACATGTTGGAATACGTGTGGACATGTTGGAATACGTGTGGACATGTTGGAATACGTGTGGACATGTTGGAATACGTGTGGACATGTTGGAATACGTGTGGACATGTTGGACATACATGTGGACATGTTGGACATACGTATAGACATGTTGGACATACGTATAGACATGTTGGACATACGTGTGGACATGTTGGACATACGTGTGGACATGTTGGACATACGTATAGACATGTTGGACATACGTGTGGACATGTTGGACATACGTGTAGACATGTTGGACATACGTGTAGACATGTTGGACATACGTGTGGACATGTTGGACATACGTATAGACATGTTGGACATACGTGTGGACATGTTGGACATACGTATAGACATGTTGGACATACGTGTGGACATGTTGGACATACGTGTAGACATGTTGGACATACGTCTGGACATGTTGGACATACGTGTAGACATGTTGGACATACGTGTAGACATGTTGGACATACGTGTAGACATGTTGGACATACGTGTAGACATGTTGGACATACGTGTAGACATGTTGGACATACGTGAACATGTTGGACATACGTGTAGACATGTTGGACATACGTGTAGACATGTTGGACATACGTATAGACATGTTGGACATACGTGTGAACATGTTGGACAAACGTGTAGACATGTTGGACATACGTGTAGACATGTTGGACATACGTGTGGACATGTTGGACATACGTGTGGACATGTTGGACATACATGTGGACAAGTTTGTGGATATATGTGTGGAAATATTGGACATATGTGTTCACATGTGTGTGGACATACATGTGGACATGTTGGATATACGTGTGGACATATTGGACATGTGTGTGGACATGTACCTTGAAGTATCCGGTCTTGGCAAACACCTGCAGGTTTCCGTCGCCGGTCATCAGAGAGCCGTAGTTTGAGCCTCTCTGTGGCAAATGAAGAGAAGAAGATCCATCAGTATCAGTTCAGTTTGAACCTTCTTCAGAGTAAAACAGGGACGTCATCATCAAGGCCTGTACAGATATGTTTAAAGAGGGAGTATTGTACAAAACTGTACATCAAACACATGGCTGAAGAGCTGTTATGTCATCCCTGCATGTTTGACAGGGGTGTAATGGTACACGTATTTGTGCTGAACTGTTTCAATACAGGATGTTGGGTTGGGTGCAGGACTATGCACGAGTGAGTTTGTGCAATTTGTGTGTGTTTACATTTTGCCACCACATTTGCAGTTACACGGAGGCTCGGCTCTTTAATATTTACAAGGGAACTCGTCTGTGATTGGGGCAGTGTTTCTTGTAGCGTTTTATAGTTAGGACAGTCGCCTTCACAACAACTGTCCCCCGCTGTGACTGCATCCCTCCCAACCACGTGAACTTAGGAATTGCATGTTAGAATGCTAGTTGTTGTTAGCTTTACTGTGGCGGCAGTATTAGGCTCTGGTGTGTGAGAGCTGTGAAAAGTGCTCATAAACTCATCATGGTGAAAAATTAGGACGCTCTGAAAGCAGAAGGTAAGTGAGGAAGAACTGCACCAAACTTTCAAATGAACAATTTTTTCACGTTTTTAAGAGGGTACAGTGCCTTTAATGTGACGTCTTAAGAAGTTAAAGCATGTTTGCTGTTGTATAGACCCCATTAAGACCCCTCACAGAGCAGCTGCTGTGACTGAGGTTGTTCTACATCTGTAGTCAACACCTATAAAAAACCCTGAACCAGTCTCTTGTGTTTGTCTAAAACAGAGGTGTCCAAACCAAAGACCTCCTCCTGAACTGACCAAATGCAACAACGCCTACAACGCTATGCTACAACATCAATAACATCATGTCAGTGTGTTACAGACCTCAGATGTGGAGGCTCTGACAAAAAGCATCAATCTGATGATCCACTCTATGGCCTATATCACTTTAACAAACCAAGAGTCATTTTCAATCTGGAGGAACGGCTTTGAGGAGCTTCAGTTAGACTCACTATAAGAGAGTGGTTCTAGTCCTAGTCTATCCCTGGTCTATCCCTGGTCTAGCCCTGGTCTACTCCTGGTCTAGCCCTGGTCTAGCCCTGGTCTAGCCCTGGTCTAGCCCTGGTCTAGTCCTGTTTCAGTCCTGCTGGTACCAGGGAGAGGGTGATGCGGCTGCCGCTCCTCAGCACTTTATCCAGGTTGCTCATGTGGATGTCTTCCCAGTGAATCCTCCAGAGCTGAGCCACCAGCTCCTTCTCCAGCTTCATCCTCCTGAAACACACATATGCATATGAACAAATATCTGATCAAACATAAACCAAAAGTGTCTGACTATGGTTTGTTTTGTTTGTTTTTTTATTTAGATCCTCATTAGCTACTGAAGAACAGCAACTATTCTTCCTGGGGTCAGTAACATTCTATAAATGCCTTTTTCTGCAGGAAAACAGGATTTACATGCACCACATTTGTACTAACAATGAAAGGTAACAACAGATAACAAAATATACAAATAACCATAACAATCGATGCACATAAATAAACATATACATACATACATACACACACACACACACACACTTGCACATACATATACATACATACACACATATACATATATATATACATACATATACATATACACATACATACACATATTCATATATACATATACACACATATACACACATATACAAACACATACACATATGTTACACACATAAATGACATACACATATATAATAGCTCTAATTTTCAAATCAGAGACAACACAATTCCATTATTCAAACATTAAGCCCTCCAAAACTTCTGAAGTACAAAACACAAAAAATTACAACTATTCCAACAATACTACCCCCAAGTGAAAATGAACAGTCTAAGCATTTTATGAAAACTAAGCGTCCACATTCCCGAGATGAGGAACTGTGGGAGTGAGTTCCATGCCACCATTGCTCTATAGCGCACTGTCCTCTGGATTTGATTTGAGTGACAGGCCAGTAACAAAAAGCGACTCTCACCTGACTGTCTTGTGCAGTACTGATGCACGTCACTGAACATAGTTAATTTACAATACAGTATTCAGGTGTTTTTGTGACTATCAGGTTTGTAATAAATTTAATCAAAGAGTACTTAATCCTTCCTCTTACATGCAGCCAGGCCAACTGATTATGTATTTCATTAATGCTTGTCCTGAAAGGACAGTTCAGGATAAGATTTATTTATTATTAATTATATATTAATTTATTTAAATTTGAATCTGTTGTATTTGACCAAATTATTGAACAATAGTCTATGTGACAAGACTATAGATTCCACTAATATTTTCCTTATTCGATTTGGGATACATTTTCTGCACTGCTTCACAATGGCCATGCTTTTATCCATTTTATTTAATATGTTTTTTATATACTATCACTCCCAGGAGCTTGGTTTCTGTTATTTGTTCTATAGATCTGCCCTCTACATACAAATCTAGAACAGGAGAGTTCCTTAAAAGATGACTTGATCCCAATACCATGCATTTGGTCTTTTCGGCATTAATCACCAACTTATTTTCATTGATCCAGTGCTCAATTAATCTCAACTCATCACTTAAAAGAGTATTCAGATTGACTAGATTAGTATCAGACATGTACATGGTTGAGTCATCTGCGTATAGTGCAATAGTGGCATGTTCTAAAACAAACGGCAGATCATTTGTAAAAATAGAAAATAAAAGTGGCCCCAGGCAGCTTCCTTGTTGCACCCCACAACCCAGCGTATTTGTCTCAGAATAGCTACCATTAAACAGCACAGTGCATTTTCTGTCCGTGAGATAACTTTTGATCCACTGAGTAGCAGAATTTTCAAACCCATAACAAATTAACTTGTCCAACAATAAATCATGGTCAAGTAAATCAAATGCTGCACTTAAATCTAATAATACAGTCCCAATTATATTATTATTTTCTATCACATTAATCCAGTCATCAGTTATTTGAGCTAACGCTGATGTTGTGGAATGCCCTTTTTTATAGGCATGCTGGTACACTGAATTTAATCAATTTTTACAGAAATATACATTAATTTTATCATAAACAATTATATCCATTATTTTACTCAAAATTGGCAGAATATGTATAGGACGGCTATTCTTTCCGGAAAAAGGCTCCTTACTATTTTTTGGGAGTGCCATGATTTTAGCCTTTTTCCATTCTGCAGGACAGATACATCTTTCTAAACTTAGATTAATTACAGTCCCTGACAAAAGTCTTGTCGCTTATCTATTTTGAAGAAACAAAAGCTTATAACCTGACTTTAAATTAATCAATTGGTTTTAGAAATGTCTCATATGAAAGCTAAAACCCTCCCAAATTATGCTCAATATAGTAAAATAAATTTGCTTCACTTAAGAAAGATTGATCATTTAATGAACACTGAAAGGTCAGATTTTGGCAAGACTTGTCGCCTTGTCATATGATGCACCCAATCCTAGATTACAGCCTCACCTGTGATCAGTTACTGATCAATCAATTAGTGGGTGTGTATAAAAAGAAGCCCAGCACACCAGATCTTCACATCAACTGCAACCTGACCTCTGACAACATGCCTAAGATCCACCCTGAGACCAAAGCCTTAATTATCAAGAGGCTGAAGACCAGATCCACTGCTGAGGTGGTGACACCTTCAATGTGTCTCAGCGTCAAGTACAAAGAATAAGAAAAAGATCTGAAATGACTGGAGATGTTTTTGACAAGCCCAGGTCCGGCAGACCCCACAAGACAACTGCTCAGGAGGACCGTTTGTTGATTCGAAAATCCAAGGCCCCTTTTCCACTGCAGCAGACTCCACCAGGCCTGGTCACCTCAAGTCCCTGTGTCAACCACAACAGTTTGAAGAATTCTGTCTCGAAATGGCCTCCATGGTCGAATCAGTGCACAGAAACCAGCACTAAACAAAAGGCAATTAAAAAACCGTGTGGCATTTGCCAAGGCCCACAGCCTGCTAAAAGGATGGACACTGGAAAAGTGGCAGAAGGTGGATTTCTCAGATGAATCCTCGGTTGAATTACATCACAGCCGCCGCAAATATTGCAGGAGACCTACTGGAGCCACATGGATCCAAGATTCACCCAGAAAACAGTTAAGTTTGGTGGCGGAACAATCATGGTCTGGGGTTCCATCCAGTATGGGGGTGTGCGAGACATTTGCAGGGTGGAAGGTAAATATCAATAGCCTAAAATATCAAGAAGTATTAGCTACATCTTACATTCCCAACCATAAAAGGGGTCAAATTTTGCAGCAGGATGGTGCTCCATCACATACTTCTATCTCTACATCAAAGTTTCTCAAGGTGAAGAAGATCAAGGTGGTCCAGGACTGGCCAGCCCAGTCACCAGACATGAACATCATTGAGCATGTCTGGGGTAGAATGAAAGAGGAAGCATGGAAGGCAAAACCAAAGAATCTTGATGAACTCTGGGAGGCATGTAAGACGCTTTCTTTGCTATTCCTGATGACTTCATCAACAAATTGTATGAATCATTGTCAAACCGCATGGATGCGTCCTTCAAGCTCATGGAGTCATACAAGATATTAAATATGGATCTCACAGCACCACTACTTCATTCACTGACGTTATGCAACATATTTTTGTATTTGAAGTAAATTATTTGTTCAATTTTCTGTAGGCGACAAAACTTTTTTCTTGCCAAAATCTGACCTTTCTGTGTTCATTAAATGATCAATCTTTCTTCAGTGAAGCAAATTTATTTTAGTATATTGAGCTTAATTTGGGAGGGTGACAAGACTTTTGTCAGGGACTTTATGTAACATATGGGCATAGCAATTATATCAGACACCAATTTTAGCAACTTTACATCAAGTTCATCTATACCCGGAGGCTTTAATTTCATTCATTTTAATACATTAACTACAGTAGTTGTATTTACTTTATCAAATTTAAATTTACATGATTTATTTAGCATAATTTTATTTTTGATAATTGAAAATGATAGCAGACTCTTTGGCCTAGAGATCATGTTTTTCCGTAAATTTAGAATTTCATTCTTGAAATAATCACTTAAATAATTAGCAATATCAACTGGCTTAGTCAAAAAAGAGTCCTCTACTTCCAAATATGTTGGAGCAGATTTTGTCTTCCGTCTCATTAATTCATTTAATGTATTCCATATTTTATTGCTGTCAGATTTTACATGAAAAAAAGTATTTCCATAATAAGCCCATTTCTTTAATCTATTTAATTTAGTCACATAATTTCTCAGCTTCTTGTACCTGTCCCACACTTCACTGTTGTCTGATGAGATAGCTTCAGCTTTTAAATCATCTCTTTGCTTCATGTACCCTCTACGTTCAGGATCTAACCAGGGAGAAGCAGTGTTTCTTACGGTCATCTTTCTCAGTGGAGCATGTTTATTGATAATTGACATTATTAAATTAGTAAAAGCCTCCAATGCTCTATCTGGATCATCCTCCAATAATACTTGTGACCAACCAACATTTCTGACCTCTTCCACATAACTCGTTTCATCAAATCTTTTAAATATCCCTTTAATAATAATATTCTGCCCTAATTTGGGGACTTTGGTATTTTGGTTAATTATAATTAAATTATGATCACTAAACCCAACACCAACTGAAATCACCTTAGAGCATAACTCTGATGAATTTGTAAATATTAAATCAATACATGTGGCAGTTTTTGTCTCTAGTTGGTTTTGTTACGACTTGTGCCAAATTACAAGTGTCTGTAACAGATAAGAGCTTATTTTTCAAAGAACAATTTTTAAACTCCAATCAATATTTAAGTCACCTAAAAAATAAATCTCCTTATTTAGGTCACATACTTTATCTAACATATAACATATACGATCTAAACAAACTATTGGAGCATTTGGAGGCCTATAACAGCAACCAATAAGAACAGACTTGATATGAGGCAACTGCATTTCCAACCACAGAGCTTCAACATCAATACACCCAAGATCAGACCTGGTCTTTACTGGTATCTGATCCTGAACATAAAATGCCACTCCACCCCCATTTATATTTCTGTCATGCCTATAAAAATGGTAGCCATTTACATTCACAAAGGAGTTATCAATAGTTGCATCCAAATGTGTTTCAGATATAGCCAAAATATGCACATTATAATTTTCCAGAATTCCTGAAATCTCCTGAACCTTATTCCTTAAGCTACAAATATTCAGATGGGCTATTTTTAATCCTTTATTTGATACTACATTATCTCTTACCATAACATATTATACTTATATA